TTTTTTTTTTTTTTTTTCTCTCTCTCTCTTTTTTTTTTTAATTTAATATTACCTGTTTGATTGCTGGATTTCTTTGAAGATCAGAAGAGGAAAAATCCCCACATGAAAGCCTTCCCATTCTCAGCCTGGAGTGGCTGAAAAGAGAAGAATGAAAGGAGAGAGCAGCATCCGGAAATATTTCTCCCACTCCTCAGGAGAGCAAGGAATAGAACCATAGAGCCATAGAATCATTAAGGTTGGGAAAAAAAGCTCTGAGATCCCCAAGTCCAACCCCAACCCATCCCACCATGTCCCCTCATGTCACACCTCCATGGTTGCTGAGTGCCTCCAAGGATGATGCTTGTTGGCCCCACACCTGGAGGGCTGTGTGGGGGCTGTTGGGACCAAAGTCCAGCACCAAGCCATTGAGGCTTGGTGAACTTCACCCCATTGGCCTCTGCCCATCCATCCAACCAGTCCAGATCCCTCTGTAGTGCTTTCCTACCCCCAAACAGACCAACACTCCCCCCACTCCGGTGACATCTGGATGGTTGTGCAGCTCTGCAATGCTTCCTTAACGCATCAGCGGGAGGGAGCACAGGGGACCATGGGGTTTGGGAGCAGAGAAGTTGGCATTGCCCACGGAGTGACCCTATGGAGCGCTGCCACACGGCACCAAAACCCCTCAAAACCTTGTGCAAAGCAGGCAGGGAGCTGGCAGAGCTGCAGGGCTGTCACAACCCATGCTTTCTCCCTGCCAGCTGCAGCCCTGCCCGCCCTCCCCAGCCGGCTGAGCCACCTGCTTGGGGCACAGGTTGGGTTCCTTGCACAGGGGTGAGGCACGAGGCAGGAGCCCGTTTTTCTGGTGGCAGTGCTGGGCGTTGAGGTTCACACACACTGAGCAGCGCTGCAGGAGGTTCCCACCTGGGGGATGCAAATCAAACGTGGCAACGATGTCCCAACCCCATGCAAATACCACGAGCAGGAATGGGGGCCTCCTGGCAGCTCCAGTGGTGAGCGTTGCTTTTTTGCACCTGGAAGAATTGCAGCGTGCAGTTACTTGGCTGCCTGCAATACAATGCGATGGGGCGGGGGGGGGGTTGCAAAGCTGCATGGGTTCAATGGGCATCGGTTCCTTCACTTTGGGACCCACAGCTTGCAAAACCACATCAGGGTGCTCCTTTGCATTCACAGGCAATCAGATACATCATTTGAACCTCCTCCCACCGCCATCCGACCTGCAGGTCCCAGCAGCCCCCCAGGGATCTGCACCATCAATTATTTCCTAATCTTATCTAAGCTGTCTCTTGCTTCCCCCCCCCCCCCCCCCCCCCCCCCCCCCCCCCCCGTGTGCCTTTCCCTCCCACCTCCCCCTCCCTCTGCTGTACTTTGTACCCTCTGACAGCACCGCTTCCCCCCCTCCAGCCTTTCTCTTTGATCGTAGGAAGAAGCAATTGATCCTCCTTATCTTTATTGTGGTAGAGACATTCCCAGCGCTGCCCTTAATTAAATTCCTCTTCATTTTCATCCCTCAGCCTTCTCTTTCTCCCAACCCCAGACACGTATTTATTTTCAAATGTGCAATTAAATTATTAGATTGGCCACGAGCAGAAGAGGAGCCGCGTGCAGTGGGGTTGTGCTCCATCCACACTGTCCCCATCCCCATGGGGGGGGGCAATGGGGGGACAAACCCATCGATTTCCTTCTGCTCTCCACCCCTGGGTTGGGCTGCTGGGTTATATGAGCTCTGAGATCCGTTGGCACTGTGACATACCCCAGGTTGTGGCCAATGGATGCTGATGTGAATTTGGGACAGGCTGAGTTCCAGTCTCCAGATGTGGGCAGCAGCACTGGGGGAGAGATACCTGCAGCCCATTGGGGTTGTGCTCATCCCTCAGAGGAGCAGAACCAACAGAGGATGCATTGCAGCAGCCTGGAAGTCAGTTCCCATTAACCACACAATGCATTGGGGTGGCCTCAACTGCTGCTTCCAGCAGAGCTGCAGGAGCTCACGGGGAGGTTTTGGGTTTACAAGCTGCAGCTTTAACTACAATGACTCAGAGGAAATGGGGCTTTGCTGAGTGTTTTTGGCTGCCTCCCTTCCCCTGTTTCATTTCTCCCCATCTCTGCCTCTCATCCCCCATAACACATCCCCATAGCATGGGACAGGCACCGCAAGGCTCTGGAGGTGCTTGAAATAGAAATGGTGGGTGGTGGGGAGGGAAATGTGGGCTCAGCAATGAGCCCCCCACAGCCCCCAAGAGAGAGCCAAGGGAGGCTGCAGGCGGGGGGAGGCAGAGATGCCACCAGTGCCAGGCAGGGGAGGGAGGCAGGAATGGGACAAGGGCAGCAGGATGGGCTCCTAGGCTCCTGCTTGTGCCCGTAGTGATGGCACTGTCACCAGATATGATGCCGTTGTCACCGACCCACACTGCTGCCAGCAGGTGAGACCCCAGCACCCTGCAGCCGCTGGCTGTGGCTCCTCTCTGTGCTGCCCCAAGCCTTTCCGCTCGGAAATTTTTCCTCCAGACACTTTGACCTCAGGGGTAGCGAGTATTTTTCATGTAGATCAGTCGAAATTCCCCTGGAGACAGCGCAGGAATGCAAAGCATGTTATCCTTGGTACCAGCTCTTTCTTTTTACAGCCTAAGCTTGGCCAAGCCGGCAGGCAGGGGGAGGGGATGTCTGGGGTCCCGTTGGCTTTCCCATTGCTGGGGCCAGCCACCCCCAGCCCCTCCCCCCCTCCCCTTCTCCTCCTCAGGAGGAAGGCTCCTGAGCCAGGAGAGCTGAGGACAGGGGCTGTGTTGGGCTCTGCAGCAGGACCCGTGGCCATGACCCCATTATGGGATCAGTGGTGGCATCTGCACCAGCGTCCCATGACCAGGAGTAAGGCAATACACCCCAAAATGCAGTAATGGCCTCATGGGTGCTCAGCAGCTCCTCCTCTCCTTGGGGCAGAGAGGCAACATGACACAGTGGGGACATTTGGGAACTCCACCAGCAAACACATTATTTTATTGTCCACGACTCGTGCAGCTGGGAACCTGACGGCATAATGTGAGCGAGATAAATCACCGCCTCATCCATCTCCATTAAGTGCAATTACCCCCTTGGATACCAAACCAATGTATGACAACTACTTCTCCCCGTGCTGAAGAGCAATGCCACGTGAGGTGGGGGGAGACAGCAAGGCATGGGCATCTCATACTGCAGGATGGCCCTGGCTGCAATGCCATTCCCAAAGGAAGAGCTGCTCCCACTGCCCCCAGCTCCCCAAGCCCACTTCCTCATCCAGCTCCCAGTAGCAGACTGGCAGCCCAGCTGCTGCAATTACATAAAATGCAATTAGCAAGGCAGCCGAGGGAGGCCTGAATGGCATTAAGGAATTCCTCCCCAGCTGACGTCAAAGCTTCACCTCTCCTCCCTCTGGCACAAAGGGGGCTCTTATGAGCCTCTCCACCCCCTACTTGGAGAATGTGAGTCCTCAGGGAGCCCCAAGCTGTGTGTGGTGTGTTGGAATTGTCCCCATAGCTCTTGTCACTGCAGTGCCCAGCTCCACGTGCTGGGATTTCTGCCTCCCCCCTCACTGGGAATGGTGGTGGGAGACTGGACCTGGGGGCATGAGGATGCTGGAAGGGCAGTGGGGATGTCAGCCCAGGGGTCCCACTGTTCTCTGCTCCTGCTGTCCCCAGGTTGGGGATGGGGTGATTCAGTGGGCTTGCAGCTTTGTGATGTGGGATGTCAGCAGGATGCGTGGTGGTCTCTGGCTCTGAGTGGTGGAAAGGATGGTGCTGGCTCTTTCCAGGGCTCCCTGCTGCCCCCAGCAAGCCTCTAAAGATGGTTCTTAGCGGCTCTGCACCAGCAGCGTGCCCTAAACAGCAGAACAGCGTTTTGGAGGCTTTTCTGCCTCCCTCAAAGCTGTGCCCATCCCTGGACCCCGCTGAGAGCTGTATCCACCGCAGCTACTCCTTTCCCCCACCGGCTGCAGAGCTTATGGGACTCCTACCCCAAAACCTCGTCCTCCTTGCCCTGCAGCGGGCAGGAACGGGTTAAGGCGCTAATTAGGGTGAGGGAAACGGCCCGGCCCCAGCGCCCTTAGGGGTGCTTCTGATGCTCTCCCCATCTTCTCTCCGCCTCCGCTCTCTCTTTACGGCTGCCGGGGGCCCCCCAGTGGCCGCAGCGACGGAGCCGTTCCTGGTGTGGGGCTCGGATGGGGTACCGGGCATCTCCCGCTCTCTGTATGGGGCTGCTGCTTCCCTGGGCAGGGAGAACGGTTAACAGGTAATGAATGGTGGGTGCAGCGGTGGTGGGCAAGCGGAGGAATCGATACCTGCGTCTGGGAGTGTGGTGATGGGGCAGCAGCTAGGAAGATGCAAGGGGTGGGGGAAGAGGGGGCTGTGAGGCAGGGGAGACCCTCAGTGCGGGGTGTGGAACTTGGAGGAGAAGGTCAGGGGGGCTGCTAAGGTATGAGGGAGGCACAAAGAGGGGGTAAATGGTGACTGAGCCTGAAGGCAGTGCCCTTGTCTGGGGGGAAAATAACACCCAGTAGGCTTGGAGGATGTGTAGGAGGGGGGTCCATCCATGCACCCAGGTGCTCTCAGGACCCTCCCCAGGGCCCCACTGCCCGCCTCCCCCCTCTGTGTTGGCTCAGCTGCCTGCTCTGATCAATCCATTGCCTTTCCAGGTCAATGCAAGCTGAAACCCAACCTGCTGCTTGCCCCCCCCAGCTGTCCTCTCCTCCACTTCACCCTGATGCATTCAGGCCGGTACCCACCTGGTGGCCAAAATATTCCCAGCTGTGCCCAGATCAGAAGTGATGCACCCCTCCCCGGGACCCCAAACCATCCCTGCACATAGGGTTGCAGAGCAGGACAGTTGCTAAAGGCCAAATTCTCAGCTGAGGCAAACTGGTTCAGTGCCTCCGAAGTCGGTGGAGTTGCACCCATTTGCACCAGAAGAGGATCTGACTGTGGATAGATCTTAATATATATTTTTATATATATATTTATATGTATGTGTGTGTGTGTAGATATATTACATAAATATATAGGTATGAAATAATTTAAGAAACATCCAAGACTGCATGCTGTGCTCTTGTGTAGGGCTGGGGAGGCAGCTGCCCACCTCCCCCGGCGCTACCAGCTTTGATTCACAAATGGAAACAGAGTCTTGAATTAACTTAAAAACCACACACACACACACGCACACAACACATTGCAGAGGCTGAAAAACTCAGTGGCGTGATGCTGGAAAATCTGGGTGTCCCTGAAGAGATCAGATCAACTGAAGCCAAAGGAAGGGGAAATAAATAAATGAGGGGAAACCGATAGAGGTGGGTCTCGCTTGTGCCGGTGCTGATGCTGTTTCTGGCATTGGGTCTGCGTGGGGATGGCACCGCAGCCCTGCTCTGCCCTTGGTCCAGGTGATGGGGTTGGAGAAGCTGGTGAGATGTGTGTCCTGCTGTGAGCTCGCTGGGAGCAGTGATGCTTGCCTTGGACCTGCTTCCTCCTTTGCCACGTGCTTTGCTTCAGCTCCATCTTTTCGCTGTCTTTCAGATTGAAATGGAAAAGCCAGCCCCGGTAATTCCTCTCTGTACAGAAAGTTCTCCCAGAGCTGAGTTTGCTCCAGCTCAATCCTTTCTACCAACAGCCCCGAGGTGGGCTCTGCAGAAGACCTTCCTACTGACTTTCAGAACAGAGCAACGTTAAAAAAAACAAATAACATAAAAAGAAACAGCCAAACTCCCCCCTTGAAAAACCCACCACCGCTTACATTACCAATTTCATCCAAAACTCCCCCACCCTGAGCATCCCAGAGGACCGATTTCACCGTGCTCTGAGCGACTGCAGCTGACTGAGGGCCAGGAAAGCAACCAAAGAGTGCACAAAGAAATGACCAAAGGCTCCGGAGCGCCATCCCCTCCCACCCTCTCCATTGTGAAATGGAAAAAAACCCCGGTGCTGCGGATCAGCTGGGGAGCAGGACGTGCTCCAGAAAGTAGGTGATGGAGTCCCAGTGTTTCCAGAGGAAGAAGAGGAAGAGGACGAGCAGGGCGGTGCTGAGGATGCGCATGCGGGTCTTCATAAGCGGTGTGATGAAGTTGGCGATGGTGGAGACGAAGACGAGCAGCACTGCCATCAGAGCCAGGATGACATTGATGAATTTGCCCAGCAATGCCCGGGCGTTGGCGTTTTCCACTCCTTCCAGCTGCACCACTTGTTGTTGCTGCTGCTGAAGCTCCAGCTTGGTCACCCGCGTCAGGCAGGATTCCACTGCTTCCTGCAGGGTGGAGTTGTGTTACAGCCACTTGGTGGCAATGAGGGCTTTGGGGATTTGCTCTGTGCAAGGTGTTGCTTGTGTAGCTCTGCTATGTGCACAAACCTATGATGATGCTGATGGGTGGTAGAATGGGTTTCCCTCTGTGAATCTGTGCTGGGAATGGCCTCTGTACCGTGGGTACCTACCCAAACTGGGATAGCAGGGATGATATGTTAGCCCAAGTGTAGACTATCCCACCCTGAGCCTCACATGGCTGTGAGCAGCTGGGGATTTTAAGACAGCAGGGACTTTCTGGGGCACAGACAGCATTCTGGGGACACAGCTTCTTGCTGAGACAACGTCACAGCAAGGACACAATCTGGATGGTGGTAACAGCTGGAAAAAGGGCTCCCTTTGTCCCTCCCTCCATTGCCCCCAGGGTCCCTTTCTGGCTCCCTTGGTGGAGGGTGCAAGGTGAGGCTGAGCCCTGGTGCTCCCCTACCTGGATGTCCCGTGCCCTCTCATAGGACTGGTAGGCCACCTTTTCCTCCATGCTTGCCAGCTCCTGCTTCAGGTTGGTCATTTCATTCTGGTGCAGCTCGGTGAGGTCGTTCAGCTGCTCCTCCAGGCGCTCATACCTGTGTGTGGGGGCAGAGGGGCACTGGCATTGGAGAGACCCATCCCAAAAGCACAACCCTTGGATCCACCTCCCTCCTGCCTGGGGCTGATGATGGTAATGTACCTCCTGCTTCTCTGTGGTGCAGCTCCCACCATCCCCAGTGTGCAGGGCTTGGTCACAAGCCCAGGAAGGTTCCCTCGTGGTCCCTCTAAAGCCACCCTGGGTGATGCACATTGCCCCCCCCTCCCCCTCAGCCCTATACCTGTAGCGTTCCTCTTGCAAACACTGCGTCATGTAGGTGTAATCCCGCTGCAGCTGTGCCTTGAGGTCCTCCATGGAGTCCTCCAGGTGTGACTGGCTGTCCTTGATCTCCCGCAGCTCCTCCAGGATGGTGTCAAAGTTGCTGTGATGGCCTTCCAGCGTGTTGGATTTGGGGCTCCCCAACCCACCGGGGCCAGCCCCAGAATTGCTGCCACCAGCTGACCCCGAGGTGGCACTGGAGCACTCATCATCACTGCCATATTTGGGGCTGGAAACCAACGTGGCACTGCCGCTGAGCGCCCGTGAGGCTTCCTCAGGGTGTCCATCATCCAACGTGTCCTTCAGGTGGGCAATGTTGTCTGCGCTGCCGAATTTATTTCGGATTAAGCTGGCAAATTCCCGAGGCTTGGACACCACGGCGGTGTGGGTGGCTTGGGACAACCCCGAGAGCCCTCCTTTGACACCCTCCACCACACCACCACCAAATCCACTGATGCTGGAACGGACGTTTGCCCCGACGTCCTTGAGACCTTGGTGCATGTCCCGGAAGACATCTTTGGGTTGTCGAGACGGGCCGTTCTGCTCGATCTCCTTCAGCTTTTTGTGGTAGTGCTCGAGCTTCTTGTGCAGCTGCGCGATGGTCTGCGCCGATTTCTGGTTCTTCTTCTCAAAGACCTGCTTGATGCGCGATGCCTGCTGCTTGTCCGCGTTGTTGGCCAGCTTTAGGTACTCGGCCACGTTGTCGTCACGAGCTTCCTGCTCGATCTTGATCTGCTCGGTGATCTTGAGGATCTTTTGGTGCAGGTGCTCGATGGCTGCCTTGGTCCTGTGGGGGTCAGGAGTGCCATCGGGGACGTCCAGGCAGATGGGGCCGTCGGTGTCACCGTGGCCGGTGGTGGAGGGCAGCCCAAGCGTGGCCACGTCCCCCTTATCCAGCTGTGGGCAGAGGATATTAGGAAAGGTAGGTTGGATATCAGGAAACATTTCTTCTTGGTAAGAGAGGTGATGCATTGGCAACGGCTGGTCAGGAAGGTGGGGGAGTCACCGTCCCTGGAGGTGCCCAAGAAAAGGGTGGAACGTCGCATTGAGTGATGTGGTGGGGACAGGTTGGACTTGGGGATCTTAGAGGTCTCTCCAACCTCAATGCTTCTGTGAGACATGGGGGCAGAGCTCAGCACGGTGAGACCCGGGGTGGGGGGAGCCTCAGTGCCATGGGGTGATGGGCAGGGAGGAAAAAGTAAAAGAACAGCTAACCAGAATAGGAAAGAGCAGGAGAATAGCTAATCAGAAGTTGGATTATTTTTCTTTCTGTCTGCTCAAGCATTTTCCAGACGTAGAATCATTCAGGTATGAAAAGACCACTAAGGTCATCAAGTCTAGCCATCAACCCTGCTGGTTGGGTACTGGTGGAATCCCAGTCAGAGGGCACAGACATAACTGATTGTTGTCCAGGGTTGGTTTGGGCTCTTAACAAAGAACATGCAGTGCTGGGGGCTCGTTGCATTGCACACAGTGCTGGGAACCAGCTCTGTGCTGGGGGAAAGCAGTGAGGAGCTGAAATGGAAACCCCTCATCTGAACTCCCATCAGAGCAGGGACTGTGCAACCCAGTGGTTGCCTGCTGGGAACTGCAGGCACACAATGATCTCCATTTAAAGATGGAAAAATTAAAGAGTTGGGGGAGAGAGAACCACCTTCCTGAGGCGGGGCTTCAAATACCCACAGAGCCTGGCCAGCAACCCCCAATCCCCCAATATGCTGCTTCACCACTCAAAAATCATCATTCTTCCCAGCTTCTACATGCAGATTCCTATGCAAATCTCAACGGTTGTATAAATGGCTCCTGGCTTCTAATTAAGAACTGCTTGAAAGTTAAATACTGTTGGCAGACCTGAATAATTTCTCATTTCCATCACATTTTCCCCGAGTGACCCTTTAATAGGGATAACGCCGCGAGATCATTACTTAGGAGTGTTTTATCACTGGGAAATGCCTTGTGCAGGAGGGAGGAATGTTCTCAAGATGCTGCTTATCAAGGTTCCTGTCTGTGGCAAGTGCTGAGCTGGCCTAGAGGAGCAGGGAAATGCTCCCCCCTTGTTTTCATGTCCCTCCCTTGCTGTGGACACAGAGCCAGGGGTTATGCCTGTCCTAGTGCCCAGCATGGGATTTGTAGGGCTTTATATAAGGCATGGCTCGTGCTTGCTGGAGACCACCCAGGGGCACTGGTGCTCATGATAAGGGTCTTCTTGCAGTGCTTTCAGCCTCGTGGGAGGAAAACACAGATAACTACAAGCTCTGTGCAGCCCCCAGCCCCTAGGCTGGGCTTTTCTTATCTCTCTGTCACAGGGGAAAGGTACTCAAGGATGCAAGCAAAGGGAAAAACAAACAGCCCCTCTGCCTGCTTTCAGGGCAGAGCTGCATGTAGCTCCATCCCTTTTGGATCAGCATTTTCCAAAAAGAACCCACCCAACCAACCTGCAGTTTGCAGGCACTGTGCTTGGTGCTCCCCTTCAGCCAAGGGGAGGGTTTTGCTTTTGGTTCTTATGGGCAGGAAGAAGTGGGAGGCAGCAGGAAGCAGGCTGTTACCCCAGATGTACCATTTATAGACAGCAAAGGACAAAAAACAGCAGTGGAAAAAGAAAAGCAGCCCTGGAGCAGCTGGAACAGGAAATGTGAAATGGGGTAACGAAAGGGAGAAGTGGCTCAAACTTGTATGAGATGCAGTGTTATCACAGCAGTGCCTCCAGTTCCCCTTATCCTGGAGCTGAATTTGTGTTGTTTCCATCCACTTACCCCTGTGAAACGCTTGCAGGGTTTGGGTGGAGGGAGGTGGGGAGCCCCAGCTGCACCCCAGGAGCTTTGAAGAAACAGGAGAAGGTTTGGGAATTGCTGATCCCAGTCCTGAAAACGGCCTCAGTGGGGTCTGACCTCGTGCAGTGCTGAGCTCCTGCAAATCCCATCTCTGGGATTTATTGGGGGGAGCCTCTTTGGGAGCACAGGGGTGGTGGCACAGCGCCGATGCTGCCCATTGTGCTGCTGTGGTTGGGGCAAAATCCCTTTCCCAGAACCACAAGAAAGCCCTGCCCTATCTCAGACACAGGGCAGAACCATGTGAGAGCCACATCAGGTTATTGCTCCGAAAGCAACAACAACGACAACAAAAAGACAATACAGATCTCTGCAGCATTAACAGGCAGTGCCTGCTAAATCCCAGCCAGCCTAAATGACTGTGCAGCAGATTTAGCAGGGGGATTAGCAGCAGCCACACTTTCCCTACATGCAGCAAAAACCTTCTGGTAAGCACGATGAAATGAAACCGTCCATCTCCCATTCTTGTTTTCCAGGCAGGCTGGAGGGGGGGAGCTGATGTGGGATGCGGGAGGAATGCAGGATGAGAGGAGGAAAATTATTCTTATCACCAGAGTTCAGCCCGGGAGAGCTGAGATATGCAAAAGGCTCAAGCTAATAAGCTGAGCAAACAGTGCTTGGAGGGCCACGGCCGGGCACAATTATGCAATGCTGGTTTGTTTGCTGCTGCAGGTTTGATGGAAGAAAGCCCAGGTAGAAGGTGAGGAGCCCAGGGCCACAGCTGTGTCCCCAACAAAAGGTTCTGGGTCACCCAGCACAGCCCGGGGCTGGGAAAGATTCAAACCCATTTTAAGAAATTGCACAATGATCACAAAGTTCAGAAGATAGCTCTCGGGACACTTACTCACGCTCCAAACTATTTTGGTTTCCATATGCTGCAACCTATTAGGAAGCATGGGAGATGAGCTAATGCCACGTGGCTGCGGAGAGGTCGATTTTTGGGTAGTCATTAATGAAGTGTAGCTGTCCCCATGGCCCCTCTCCCCTGGGGGGCTCAGAGCAAAGCAGAACTCGGCGCAGATCTTTCCTGTGAGCTGCTCACTGCCATCAGCCTGGCGTTACGTGGGATGTCCCCAGCCCCTTCCCATCCCCATGTAGGTTCCCAGCCTCGTGCCGTGCAGATCAGAGCCGCTATTCCCACCCCAGGCATTGAAAACAGAAGCAGAAGCCCTGACTCACACCTCCCACTTTCTTTCCAAGCCTGCAGCAGGGACTGGAGCAGGAACCCCGTGCCCTCTTTGCTTTGCCCCATGCCCTCTGTGCCCTGCCTGCTGGCTGCCACCAGCCCCGAACACACAGAGGGGACAGCAGCAGCTGCCTCTGTTCATTTCCCAGCCTGACAGTAATTTTTCTTACAGATAATCAGAAGCACGTTAAGGGTTTCAGCTCCCAGTGGAGCTTCCCACCCCATCTCTGCCGCTCCGGCACAGATCACCCCTTGATCTCCACACATTAAGTATTCATGTCTGGATCCCGCTGTCAGCACCAGAAATGAGATCTCTTTGCCCACCCTCCCCAAACCCGATGACCACAACACTTACCTCCATCTCCAGCAGATTCGGATCCCCCAGGGCTACTCGGCGTGGGCTGCCCGGCTGCATCCCCACTGCGATGCCATGGCAGGAGTCAGCCCAGGGTGTACTCAGGGACTGCCCGGGGAGGGGGGAGGGCTCAGGGGCAGTGCATCACCCAGCAGAGCCCCCAGCCTGCGTGCAGGGCTGCAGCCCTCCGAGCAGAGCCGTCCCCGCAGCCCTGTGAGCTTCCCAAGCTCTCAGGCAGCGAGCGCAGCATCGGGGCTGAGCTGAGCTGTGTGCTGCGGGATTGCCGACTCAGTAAATCCTCCCGAGCTGTTTACAGCTCTACTCTGACTGTAGCTTTCAGGGCTGTAATGCAGAAACAGCCCTCATCCCTCCAGCGGGATACGCACGCCGCCTCCAGCCCTGCAACGTTGCCCGTGCCCCACTGCGGGGTGTTGTGACGGGCACTGAGCACCCACGCTGTCACACACCAGGATGCTGAGCTTGGGAAAAGCCAAGCGAAGGCACAAAGTAGAATTCTGGGTGGGAAACTATGCATGGGAAAATCCCAGCCAAGCCATTGAGCGCTCGGCAGCCCGGCAGCAGCTCTGCTCACAGTTGGGATGCTTTGATCCTCACTGCACTGTGGAGATCTCTGTGGGGGTGTTACTCATGGGAATGGTGGTAATGACACCTCTGCGTGCTCAGCACCCACAGCTCTGTGTTCCCACTGTGCTCTGCTGGGATCCCTCCCTGCTTTCACAGTGTGCTCAGGGCTCGCTGTGCACGGCAGTGCAGGAGTGCAGCTTGCTCCTTAGGGTGGCAAATGGTTGAAAGTAAAATTAAACGACCACATTTCGGGATAAATATACGCTTGTGAGCCTCAGAGCTTTTAGCACGCCAGGAAGAAAGCTTGCAGCAAGCACACAGGGGACCTCACGCCCCCAGTGTCACACTGATGATGGGGAGCTCTGCTCGTTACCTATTGCTGAGGTTCTGGCAGCAGGGAAGCAACGTCTGTGCTGGGGGCATGCAAAGAAGCAGCCACAGTACAGTGATGTGGTGCAACCACAGACCTCAGTGCAACACCTGAGGGCTGCATGGAGAGCCAGCCACCCGCCCCAGAGGTGCCAAAATCCACCTCCAAAAGGACACACGAGGCAAAAGCCAGGGAGCAGCCATCTGTGTTAGCCCCATTCTGTGCAATACAGAGAGATGGGGAACTTGCTGTGAGTGCTGCAGCCTCTGCCATGGCACGGAGCAGCCGAGCCGCCTACGTGCCAGCTCCAGGTATTTGATACTTCGCTTTGTCTCTTAACTGTGATTCCCTCATGTGCAATTAAAAAGCTATTAAATGTCATGGCTGCAAAGCGAGCGGAGAGGCTGCAAGCTCGGGTACTGCAGCAGCTGGTGGCAGCCTGGAGTCACCAGTCCCTGCATTTTGCTGGAGTCAAAGCCAAGGTTCTGGGCAAGGAAACTGACCTGCAGCTCGGATAAGCTGCTCCCAATGCTGGGCTCTGCCCTGTGCTGGCTGAGCATAAACATGGATGGTAGGCTGAACGGCAGAGGTTGGGCTGCAGCTCTTTGGTTTGCTTCTTTTTTTTCAGAAAAGACATAAAGACAACAGCTTAGGAAGTCTCTTCTGCCACACATTTAATTGTACAGGCCGGAGCAGTGAGCTGATCTGACCTAGATACATGCTTAATGGCCAGGGCTGTGCTGTTCCCACAGCTGAGACACGCAGACTGCCCTGAGCACTGCTTGGCATCACCTCCCATCACCTCTCAGGCTGTCCCCACATCTGTCCATGCCCTCCCTCCACCAGCTCGGAGCTGCTCTGGGTGCAGACACGGGTTCTGACAGGGCAATGATAAGGACGGCTGCAGATGGAGCAAGCAGGGGGACAGGACATGGAGGCAGCAGCTGCTCTGAGACACGGATGCATTTCCAGTGCTGCTGGACCCAGTGCATCCCCCTGCACCAGCACCGTATATCGCAGTGCACCAGGAATTGGAGCAGCCTGGCATGAGCAGATCTGTGATGTGCAGCTGCCAAAGCGCAGTTCAACACCTCTAATTAAACACCAAGGGTAGAAGCAGGATGAGGGTCCTGCTCACGGTGAATGGCACAATGTCCAGGGCATCTCCAGCCAAGTTGGCAGGCAGTTGGATGAAATGGTGCTGGAGGACAAGGAGCAGATGGGCTGAACTCATCCCAACAGCTCTGGGGCTGGGAGCAGTGCTGGAGGGAACTGCTCAATCCCCACACACAGCCTGCATGGCTCTGCAGGGACCCTGTGTGCCATAAACCCCAATGGGTGCTTCCTACACCAACAGTCCCCACATTTCTCAGGTCTGCCTTCTCCAGATTCTGTTGGCAAACCTCTCCTGCCCTCATCATGCTGTGAGCCTGCATGAGCAAGCCCCTTCCACACACCCTGCACAGCAGCAGCAGATTCCAACCCAGTTCACACAGAAGGGCAGAGAGCCCTCCAAAAAGCACCAATTCCCCCGTAAGTTAAAACCCCCAGGAACAGAAAGCAGCACTGCTCTCTGCAGAGACAAAACCAGAGCAGCCCAGCTCTCCCCATGCCAGAAGCAAAGGAATTTTGCAAGGAAATCACCCAAGATACCAGCGGTGGACTCCCCTTCATCCTTAGCACCAGTTCTGTTTAAAAAGTGGAAGCTACGTTTTGCAGGCCTGCCTGTAAAAGGCAAATTTAAGAATAAAATAAAACCCAGCTTCCCTGCAAAGGAAATCCCTGAATTGCCATAAAATCACAGCACACTGCAGTGCTGAGCAATGCAGAATCCAACCCTGACTGCCCACAAAATCCCCATCCGAGCACCTAAAATAAGGGGCAGGCCAGCTGGCAAAGCAACACAAAGGTGTTATCAGGAGATTTGCAAACTTAACTGTTCCTAATTCTTGCTGTCCCCATTGTATTTGGAGCCCAGAGCTGAACCCTCAACCTCACGAGTCAGATAAAACCCCATGGGCATCCCCATGCACTGGGTACCACCCTGCACTCTTCACACCCCGAGGTCCTTGCTTAGAGGAGCAGATGGAGGTACTTACAAAGACACCCAGGAGAGAATTTAAGAGCAATATCCTCTTCCCAGGACAGGAGTCAGGAGGGTGTGGATCTTGCATGAGGATGCCCTGCTCACTCCTGCCAAGCGTCGGATCCTCTCCCTCTGCCATGGCTGCAGTTAAGGAGTCCAAGGGGCAGAGAAAGGCGCAGTGGGGTTTGCAGCAGAGGCACTGCGAGGCTGAGAAGCAGCCAAGAACAGGCGGCACAGGCTGGTGAGAGGGGAGGGAGCCTGGGGGAGAGGCAACAGCCTGGGAACGGGGTGCAGGGAACAGCAAAGGAGCCACGTGGAAACGTCCCCAGTCTGGGCTGCTACCCCACAGTGCTGGCAATGGGGTTGTGCTCCTGCCCTGCACAGAGATGGGTCCTTGGGGTCATGGGGATGTGTCCTCACCCTGCTCTGAGCATCTCTGTGTTCCCCATGCAGTGCCACCACAGTAGGTCCCAATAGGGCAGTCCTGCAGTCCCTGGGCACACGTCACAGCAGCCCTGGACATCAATCACAGGTGAGGAACACATGGCCAGGACAATTCAGTGACCATCTCCTGCAGCTGCAGTTATTTAGGGCCATGTCTATGCTTGGAGAATTTAGGGGAAAATTAGCTTATGGGAGGGAGGAACGCCGGGAGCTTTGAGAATGGTGCTGCCACTTCCCCTGCTGGGTCAGGCAGTGCTAAAGCTGCCTGTACTGCGGGGTTTCGGTGCTGCTGGCAGATGGAAGAGGTGGAGGCAGCAGGGTCAGGAGTCCCAGGGCAGGACCATGCTTTGCTCACCCTGACTCAGCCCCCAGGAACCCCGTTCTGCTCCCAACCCTCTCCCACCCCCCCGCTGCCCTGGGGGGTCCCCGTGACAGCCGGACCCCACGCAGCATGTGCTCAGCATGGCTGCTTGTCAGTGAGCAGGAGCTGGGGGTGGGCTGGAAACAACAGCCATATGTCAGAGAAGGCTGAGTGAGGAACACGATGTTTTCTGCTAGGGGGTGAATCAGTACGAGAGCCTGATCATCTTCTCCTGAATTAATTAAATAGCAATCCGGTGTATCTGTGCTTTTAGAACTGCTCTCCCTTGCTCCTCAAAGCACCGATGGGGATCCCAAACCCTCAGCAGCCCCCCCCTTGCCCAGGACACCCAGTGCCACCGTGTCCCCTCCTGCAGCAGGAAGGATACTCAATCAGCACTGTGGAGCAAAACCTTCCTACCAGCAAGCTCCTGGCACCAGGGCATCTTCTGCTGAAGCTGAGCTCGGGCTGTGCTCTCCCTGCGTCCCTCTGTCCGTCCCAGTTGTCGACTGACACAAGTTCTGAGTAACCAGAGCCGTAAGAGGCACAAAACCCATCCCCTCCCCTCCCTGAAACCCAATGCGGGTGGATGCCAGCAGTGCCGGGTCAGCCAGGAATGGGCGCTGAACTTTGCCTGAGTGCCCACGGGGCGAAGGCTGAGCCATGCTGCTATGCTGGGGCTGCCCTGAGACCCCCAACACCTCCCCTTGTCCCCAGCCCAGTGATGGCCGTGGGGTGCACGCTCAGAATCTCCAGATACAGCCACTGCGACAGCTATATTGAGCAGGGGCGAGCCCTGCTCTGCATTCGGTGCCTTTGGGGACACCAGGGATTGAGCTACAACGACTGACCACCCCCACAAGGCTGGGGAAACACCTCCAGGATGCGGGGAGGGGAGCAGCGGGCACGGCATCAGGGCTGGAAGCCTATAAATAAGCGAGGCTCGTCTCCCTTCAGTAACCATCCCAAGGCTGACATGTACGAGCCCCAACTGCCTCCGTCCCACTGCTGTCTCATGGAAGAAGCATCCGGAGCGGGGCCGCAGCGATGGCAGCTGGTGCTGTCACTTGCAGCGAGGGCAGCGGGCACAGAGCCCGCCTGTGGGGTGCGGTGTGGGTCCGAAATGGGGCGAGCGGGGCTGAGCGCTGCCACTCGCGTCCCCGTGCGTCACGGCGCTGGCACAGACAGACAGACGGCAAGGCGGACTCACCGCCCAGCATCACGCTGCGGTAACGCCGCCCTCTAACGGTCGCGTTCCGCTCCACGTCCCCTCCGGTCCCCACAGCTTTTTGATTTTGGGGGCTCACCTGGACGTGAACCATCCCGCACGCCCCGCAGGCTTCCACGCAGCTCCCCGGCAGCACCATGCAAAGCGTCCCGCGGCTGCCCCGTCCCGACTCCGTCCGTCGCTGCGGGGATGGGGAGGGGGACGGGGACGAGGGTCCCCCTGGGATGCTCTGCCCCGCCAGCGCCGGCTCCCAGCCCACCCCACTGCTGGGGGAATAGCAGCCCAGGGACCTGCACCCACCAGCTCCGTGGCTGGCCACGGCCGTAATCCTCCTGTCTGCCTCTCCCCGTGCGCTGGCAGGTCACCAGGAAGGGATTAGGGACATAAAGGGAAAGCTCTGCAGCACGTTCCCATTGCCTGCCTGTGCCCCAACCCGTCCCCCTGCCACTGTCCCATGCGCCACCATATCCACAGCTGGCACGTCCTCACATGAAACACCGAGCAGCAGATGCAGCACCAGCATTAATGTACATCCCAACATGCTCTCCTGCTTTGGCTGAGGTAGGAAACTGTGAAATCCAGCAGTGCTCCCAGGTATTTGCATCTGCATCCCCAGGAAGGGAATCCCACAGCCCAAGGGCTCTTTGGTGAGTAAAGATCTCTGTTAAGGCACAATTTACAGGTCAGACAGTTGGGCTAGATGATCTTTGATGGTCCCTTCCAACTGAATTTCTCCTCTCCTTCCCTCTCCTCTCTTCTTCTTTCTCTTCCCTTTTCTTCTCCTCATTCCCTTCTCTTCCCTTCCATTCAAAATTCCACTCAATTCAATTTCATCCTATCCTATCCTGTCCCATCCTATTCCATTCCATTCTACCCTATTCTATTCTGTTCCATCCCATCCCATCCCATCCCATCCCATCCCATCCCATTCCGTCCCATTCCATCCCATTCTAAATTCCCCTCCATTCTAATTCCATTCAATTTCATCCTATCCTACCCCACCCTACCCTACCCCATCCTAAATCTCACAGCAGGGGCACGCACAGCACAGCTGCAATGTTTTTAACCCTGCAGAACATCTCCCCATCCACAGCCCCAGCAGAAGACGAGCTGTCTGCAGGCAGGCAGCTCCCTTTGGGAAAAATAATACGACATGAGAATATCACGTAGCTCTTGTTTCTCTAAATAGTTTATTTTTTCCACTGTCCCACAATGGCCCTGGTATTGCCTCTCTTCCTATTACTCTTTGTGTCATATGCAGTTAATTATTCATCCCCTTGTTGCACTCTTTGTGCTGCTCTGCTCCCACCTCCTGGTGCAAATGGCTTCGGCTCCAAACTTGGGCTGCAACCAAAGAGGACTCAGCAGGAATGAGCTCCTTGTACAGCACAAGCCACATGCCAAATGCAAGAAATTTAGGCTGTGGCTGCTCAGATTAATGACCCGCACAGCTCCTGGCCCTGGTCCTGGTCTGGGTGTTGATGCAGCCAGGGGGGGGGTCAGTGGCTTCCAGTATGCATGCAGCAGTGAGGGGTAGGACTTGCAGCTGATTCTCATACAGCACAGTGCTGTGGTTCTGCTATGGGGACAGATACCCACATCCCAGAGGTGCCCCATCTCTGTGCCACTGTCACAAGGGAGCAGTGCTGGATCTGCCACCAGCACAGGTGCAGCTTACAGCTACAGAGCAGAAAAAGCTGAGTGACAACAAAAAGTATCTCTGTGATCCTCTTTCCATTATCTCATAGAGCAACACGAGTCTGCAGGTCAGACTTCCCCCTTGGATACTTGGAGCCAAGGAGGAGCAGCTGGGGGGACACAATGCTTCCACATCCTGCTGGGTTTCCTCCACTCTCCCACCCTCAAGCTCTGCCCAGCCACCTCCATCCTATTACAGAGCTATTCCTGGCCATGCCAAGCACCTTAGTCCTGTGCTTCTGCCTCCCTCCCACAGCCACCACCACCTCCTGTCCCTCTTTTAGAGCATCAAAACCTCAACACCTCAGAGCCCACCTGGCTGTGTCACCAAGCCCTACAGCCTGGCTAATGCACTGCTGTACCTTCAGGGAAATCACAGTGATTTCTGACCCCTCTGGGCTGCAGTGAGCTGACACTGCTGACATCTATAGACCAAAAATCCCTGCGTACCACACTGCCTTTATTTCTGAACTCCTTCCTCGTTATTTTATGGCCATAGCCCACCCAGCACAGCTCTGCCATTCACCTCAGTGTGCCGTGCTGCCACGGTAATCTCAGCTCTTTCATAATTAACAGGGCCAAAGACTGGATGGAAATACCATCCTCCCTATTAGCTATGCACAGAGTGGTTTAGAAATCACGTTGGGGGGGTGATCTGCAGCCTTGCTGTGCTGTGCTCTTCCCATTGTGCCCCATCTGTGGGCACCAAGTTTGCTTCTTCCTGCATCCATCACTGCACCTTTCTTTTCACTGGGAACACACCAGCTGCTGTCTTTCCAAAGCTGGGTTTATTTTGGCTGTGTCCTGTTGCTGGCAGTCATCACTTTGCTTCCACATCTGGTGGAGCGGAGTGAAGATCCTATGGAGGAATTGGGATTTTGTCCCCAAACCCAGGTGAGATGTGTCCCATGAAGGAAAGGGGATTTTGTCCCTAAGCTCAGATGGGATGTGGCACCTGCTAGCTAAAGGAAGGGGCCAGGAGCTGAATGTGCTGCAGTGTGCTGGAATGGTTAACAGAGTGGATCTGGGGTTGTTCCCCAGCTCTGGAAGCTCATTCTCTGAATGCATCTGTATAATCAATAAATGATATCTAGGAGAGGTGAATTACCTTCACCTGTGCTCCCGTGGCTGACTCATTACTTGCCTCAGGTGGTCAATCAGAGGTTCAGGCCGTGATTCAGCAGTTCCCATACAGCATCCATGGGCTGGGATGTGTGGCTGAGCATCAGCATCCCTCATCTGACCTCAGCCTGCACTATGCTCACCCCTCTCTGGGTTATCAGCAGGTTCAGCATCTGATGAGCAATTAATAAGGTGGGTAGATACCTCCTGGCTTGCCCCTTAGAGCAACAGATGACCAGCTCAAATGGGAAACTTTTGTCTACAGCACAGCGAGAAAAATCAGTGTCACTGGTCCCTGCATCCTTCCTGCCACAGCACTTCCAGGGGAAAACTTGAGCACAGAAGAGGAAGAAGTAGTGCAGGTGACACTGAGTGGCATCAAAGAGATCTGAACTTCACCAGGTTCACTTCTGTGCTCCTCAACTCAACTCCAGGCTTGGAATTCAGCACATCCCTGCCTTCTCCAACCCCACGAGGAGCACAAACCCCAACAGCAGCTCTGCAAACCCAATACGCCAAGAGCAGATCCACCCTCATCTCTACGTCTCTGTACCCCCCAACCACCCCATAATATCCCTACCTTATCAGCCAGGCTCTCACTGTCCTCAGTGAGCAGATAGACGGCCCCGCTCTCAGCCAGCAGGATGGCAGTGTCAGTGGTGGAGGACGACCTGGGCCGACCCTGGTGCTGATGCAGGATGGCGGTGAGGCTGCTGTCCTGGGGAGCTTTTCGGATGAGGTGTGGGCTGCCCTTTTGGGGGTCCAAAGAACCACTCTTAGCCCTCCGGCTTCCGCTGTGCAGGCTGGTGCCACGTTTGATGGAGGGACGGGAACGGATCTGCTGCAGCACCCGGTTGAAGGCGGTGGGACGTGCTGGGAGGTCGTGCAGGGAAACGGCGTAGGAGACGCGGTGCATCTCTGGGGAGCGCTCCTTCTCGTCGGGGGATTCGTGGTCAGACAGCCCATAATGAGGTGGCAGTGAATCCTGTGAGTTTTGGTGCTCGCGTTCCCGCGACCGTCGGCGGCTGTGGAAGAGGTGCTTCAAGCCGTGGCCGAACATGGAGCCCTCAGACAGCTGCTGGATTTTCTGCATGGAATGAGAAGAGAGAACGTCCTGTTATTGTCCAGAAAGATGGCATCAGCTCGCTCCCATGGCCGTGTTTTAGCAGTTCCAGGTTACAGAGACAAGTGACAAATGTCCCTTGGGGGATCTCCAGACAGTGCTCACACCAGCGTTGCACCAAAACGTGATGTGTAAAGAGCTTCTAGGGGGGGTTGGGACCCCCATTTTCTAAAAGGACCTGCATGGGGGAGCCAGCACAGCCACAGGCAACCTGAGTGAGTGCTAAACATTGATGGCATGCAGAGGTGGGGACACGCAGGGTGGCTCGGGATGGCTCAGGGCTCCAGCAGCACCCATACAGGTCTCTGAAGGAGGAGCAAAAGCATGCAGAAAGCCACACAAACCTCCAAGCAATCCTAAGGGCAGCATGTTTTTAGTAAGAGAACACACAGCATCAGCCCCAGCATGCAGCCACCAGGACTCAGTGGGGATGGTTGCCTTCCTACTGGCTGTGACCTGGGTGCTGGAACAAATCCACTGCTGATTGTGGCCACGTAACTCCAGAGCAGTTCCCTATAGTCACTGCAGTGCCCAGACAGCATCCCCAGGAGATGAGCACTGTGGATCTCCAGGTGATGATCCTGGCCCTGCTGAGGTTCAGGGGCATTTTGCTGCTGATGCAGTGCAGCAGAGACATCTCCCCAGGGACACTGGTTCCCGTAATTGGAGCACTGTCATTTACTCATGCTTGAAAACAAGCATGCAGGGAGCTACTTATAGCCTTTGTAGCCACTTGGCAAAAGCACTGGTTTCTGAGATTTGACCTTTGGGAGCCACAGATGACCACGGGGCTTCACATCCCTGCAGGAGGAACCCCATCTCCTAAACCCACACATATGAAAGCCCAGTGTCCATAAGGGGCTCATTCTCATCACACCTGCAGGATGCACAGGGAATCACAGAACCACAGGATCACTAAGATCACATAAAGATCTCTCAGATCACCCAGTCCAACCCCAACCCATCCCACTGTGCCCATTGACCACAGCACCTCCAGGGACAGTGACCCCCCTCACCTCCCACCAGGGCAGCCTGGTCCAATGCTGACCACTCTTATTTCTTAACATCTAACTTGAAATGAGGGTGGTTACACAAGCACATCCCACGTCACTAAACACTACAGGGAACACCTTTAATCCTTCCATTATCCATTCATAATGAAAATGCATGCCCCTCCTGATTCTTCCCAAAAAGTCTTATAATGAATCCACAACGCTGGATTGCTACTTGGGGAAATTGTGATTTAAATTTTATTCTATTTATAGTGTCTCTATGGAAACAGAGGCAGCATTAGGTGGGTAATAACCATAAAGCTGTGGATTTCTGTCACCAAGGGTACGACGTAGCCACAGATGCACAGTTTGCCCTTTAGGATGTCCAGGTGGAAAGGAACAAGCAACACCTTTCCTTGAGGGTAAGAGAAACAAAACAAAGGGAAAGGTGCAATAAAGACATTCTATAGCAGCTGCATTGGGTGGAAGCTAAAAAAAAAGGAGGAAAAAAAGGGAAAAGAGGCCAAAAGAAGGGAGCAGGATCCTGGCATTGCTCGGCTGTGGATGTAGGGCTTGCTGAACTATGGACCTGTTGGCAGTGAAGAGTGGTCCCTGTGAACACGCTGCTGCTCTGCAATAGTTATTGCTGATGTAAAATCTCTGTTTTTCTTGTGTTGCTCCGGGATGTGATTGCACTTCTACAGCAGAGGCATTTTTCTGGCACAGAGCTGCTGGTGGCTCGGAACAGATTGTCTACATGGGCTATTTTGGAACTGCCATTGCTTAATAACTGATGCAATAGATATGGAGGTTAATCTTGCTGTGCAGACAGCTGTAAACCACCAAGATTATTACCAGAATACACATACACACGTATTTATGAACACAGGTTAAGGTCTCCTAGTGATGCCAGGATCTGGTTTCCATGGACTGCAGAGG